GTGTAGGCGGAGCCGTGATGTCATCTTCAATGAGAACCACAGAAAACCAACATCAGCCGTTAGCTGTTAGCACTCAGAGCTCACAGCTCCTCATATCTGTTCAGAAACTAGACAAAAGTTAAACAAGTACAAACCACATACTGTCTGTGTCATGGCGAATACAGTCGCTGGTTTATTTATGTCTGTAGGCCGTTGTTGTGAGTGTGGACGGTCGGAGCATATACAACGTTAGCTTAGCCGATCTCCATTCAGAAAACACGCATTTTAAAAGGTTTTTCGCCTGCCGTCTGTCTGCAGACTTGTCAAAGCATTAATTCATGGTTTTTACTAACCGGTATCAGTATGTTGTCACTTCGGCATCATTTAGAAACGTATATTACAATTAAATCACGGTCAACTATGTTCATCTTGTTGTAGTTGTAGCTCCCTTGCCAGCGATTCTCTCTAGTTTAGCATACTCAGCCCGGTTGTTGGCCCGGAAAGAACCTCGATTTTATGGGGCCAGAAAAACTGTGAAATAGTACCCGCTAGCCGGAACTAGGCATAGTGGAAACACAACGGGCCGGGCTTAAAGCGAGCTTCGCGCTGTAGTGGAAATGCGTCATTAGTTTATTGCCTCTTGTCAGGACAGTTTATTGCCTCTCGCAGTAAACATGGGTTTAACTGTTGCTTAGCATTCTGGAGAAACACACTTCAAATTCACTTTAAAGAGGCCCTATTATGCTCTTTGGCGTTTTCCCTTTCCTGTAGTGTGTTATAAAGGTTTTTGTGCATGTAAAGGGTCTACAAAGACTTAAATCCCAAAGTTCCCTCTAGAGGGAGTTTCTCTCCGACACACTTATTATTAATACTGTTGAAAACATGTAAAACTGGAGGAGAACATCAGGTATTTATGTGGCTCAAATGTGCAATTAAAAATAATAATTTTTAAAAAAAATGACATTTTTGTGTTTATTCAAAAAGTATTTCATTAATTGTTTATGCTGCTTATGTGCATATCTTTGTATTTAACTTGATTGTGCTTCTAGTAGTTTCTGAGATAAATTCATTTTCTTATCATAATACATTGAGTCTTTTGGCACGAGAAAACTTTGTTATCCCAAGAAATAAAATATCATGACATACATAGACAAAACATCAGTTCCATTTACCCAAGGCTCAATGTAGTACAAGAAAAACTCCCTTTTAGGCAAAAAGTATAAATGCATTTTGGACAGGAAGGGCTGATTTTCTGCTATAAGATGCTTGAAAAAAGCCCCTTAACGTCATGGTGATTCAAACCTTTATAACAACATGCCTTCCTGTAGCTGATGATCATACCTTCAATCTGTGTCGCTGCTCTTCCTTCAGCTTCTCTTGACGCCCGATGCTCTCTTTAGTTCTGCAGGAAGTGGAAACCCAGACCCGTTTTAATCGCATTGAATAAAACGTTCAAGAAATGTTTGGCGAGCTGAAAACACATTTTCATTTCATTCTATTCTGTGTTAAACATAATTTAGGGCAGGGGTGTCCAAACTATGGCACAGGGACCGACTGTGGCCCATGTTCCATTTTGTGGCCCACAGCAAATTATTAAAGTATAATGGAATATGGCCCACACATGAAACTTGTGCTCGTCTTACATTGTACTTATAAAAATATATATATATGTAACCATATATTACACAGTATTCATTGTTGTTTCAGTGTTAATACGGCCCATTTTCAAATAAATTCAGTCAATTAAAGTGGAAAACATTTTCTAACTAATCCTGGTTGACTGATTTGCATAACAAGTTTGCGATACAAATGCTGAAGAAATTAAGAGACCACTCAAGTGTTTTCTTGAATCTCAATCTCTACATGTATGGCAGCCATTCCATTCCAGTGTCGGTTGAATTCCAACACAGAACAGTTTTGTCAGTAGTTTATAGAAGAAAATAAAAACGTACATTTTTACTCAAACACATACCTATAAATAGTTACAGAGAAACTGATCATTTTGCAGTGGTCTCTTTTCCAGAGCTGTATATCCTTTCTATTTCCACTTAGACTCTTACTCTCTGTTCAGCATGTCCCTCATGCTCTGGAACTCCTGCCTCTGCTTCAGCTCCATGAACTCCTCGAAGCGCTTCAGCTGCTCACTGGCCACCTCCGCCACCTCCGCCACCAGCTTCTCCTGCATCTCCTGCCGCAGCCTCAGCGCCATCTGAGGGTCAAGACATCCATCAGGTGAGATCACAGAGCTTCCTGTCTATGTGTCACGGTTATTTCGCCTTATAGTTAACAGATTACACATATATTGGTTTGGTGCGTAGCAAGAATTAAGTCCTTAACTAATGAGCCTTGAAATTGGTTTATTTAAAAAGATCATACAGTTCAGTTAAAAATAAAAATAAACGATAAACAAACATTCAATCTTGATAAACTAATGAGTATATCAAGCCAAAAAAAGGAAAAAAACTCAATTACAATAAAATGACAACGAAAAAAGGTCATGTTGAAAAATTAAAAAAGTTTCCAAGTAGTAAACTAATTGTTAAGACAAGTCTCTTTTTATAAAACATTTGTTATTTTTTTCTTTAACCCTCTGATACCCACAATCCCTTGGATGTGCTGATTTGGTGTGTTTGAAAGGTATGTTTATGCCATAATAAAACCATTTATCATACTGTAAAAATTACAGGATGAAGCTTAAAATAGTGTTATACCATCAAAAATCACTTTGTTCTTCATCTCTCATTCAAAAGTGTTCCACCTCATTTTGAAAAGTCAGCTTTTTAAAAACCAACATGGCTCGGTTCAACATTTTGTTTCAAAATGTCATCAATGTCATGCTCCTCGTCGCAACTGGAAAGCAACGAATGCATCAGTCCCATATACAAAGATGTGTGAAACTTTGACTTAGCTGCAGGCTAAAGAGGCTGAAATCTCAATCAATATGTAAATCATGTGGAATCTAAATGTTCTCCAATATCGGTCAAACTTGTGGAAACTCGAATATATATTGTATTCATTCTTTAAAATGATAGTATTAAAGAATTTCAACCTGTTGATTAAAACTGTCATTTGAAATAACTACCGTAATTTTCGGACTATAAGGCGCACCTGAATATAAGCCGCAGAAGCTAAATTGAATGATGTGTACATATATAAGCCGCACTGGAGTATAAGCCGCAGGTGTTTTAATGTTTAATTACCATATGTAAGGGTTCGTGCACAGAGGGGATTGTCGGGAAAGAGATGGCTGTTCGAGGAAGCTCCCATTTATTAACATTTCAACAAACATGTTGCATATTTGCATAACGTATTCAAGTGTTACCATTTAGTGCAATAGTAGCTACAGAACATGTGCTGTGTAAACTGTACTGTATCACATAGCGTTTCAGACACACAAACTTTTCAACTTTCAAACTTAAACGGTGCGCTTCCAGCGCACGTACCGGCAGTGATCTACAGCAGTGGTTTTCAACCAGTGGTACGGGGACAAACTGTCTTGCTCTCGTTCTGACAAACTGTCTTGCTCTCGTTCTGTCTCTCGTACCACTCTCGGTTCCACTTTTACGCGCTACCTGTCTCACTCTTTTCCGGCCTCCAGCTTTTCCTGCTGGAACCCGCCGCTTAAAGGTGGGGGGCGCGGACCGGCCATAGAGCCCATAGAGTTAAAGGTGGTGGACTGTAACCTGTAAAATCCATAGATTTAGGAGGTCCCCTAGTGGCCGTTAGCTGTAAAAATCCATAGATTAGCCGCACCGTTATATAAGCCGCAGGGTTCGAAAAATTTGAAAAAAGGCGCGGTTTATAGTCCGAACATTACGGTAGTAATTTTTAATAATAATAACCATGTTAGTGATGTTTCCATAGAGTGTTTTGTAGCAGTGATAAACAAGGCTACAGTGAGTAGAATGAGACAAAAATTCCTAAAACTTATTTTGGGTTTAATGGGATAAACCACTAATCGTTCATCATAAACATTATTATTTTGGATCAAATTAGTTGTGGTGTGAACTTTGGGATTTAATTTGACATGCACAAAAACATGTATAACACACTACAAGCGAAGGGAAACCCCCAAAAAGCATGATATTATGATGTCTGACCTTTGCTTTATCTTGCTGTTCTGCTGCAAATCGGATAATTTGGCCTGCCGTCTCCATGGCTTTAGGCGACAGAAGGGAAATGGAAGGTAGAGATGCGGGACTGGAAAACTCGCTGACATCTTCCTCCGGATCTTCATCCCTAGCCTCATCACTGACAGCCTGCAGCACATAAAGGAGAAACGTTTTCTTAAAAGATTCAAAAGAACAGACAGGATGGAGGAATTAAGAGATAAAACCAAGTCACAGAAATGTATATAAACTTTGTGCAGCTAAGTTAAAAGTAATAAGGGAAATTGACAAAAAAAAATCCAAGTCTTGAAAACCTCAAACTGATAAACGTTATTACTTTCTAAAAGCAATAGTACATAGAATAATAATGAATTAAATCAAATAATAAATAATACTACAAAAGAAAAATATGCAGTAGATTTGATCAATAAATATACTGAATATTTAAGTGGTTATAAGCGTAATTCATAGCGTAGACATTCAAATTCGAATCCAGCATTGTGCACAGCGTTTTTTCACATATATATTCAATCTGTTTAAAATGTATTTCTTTTAGAAAGTGCTTAGACTACATTAAAATGATTAGTATTATACATATAGACTTAGATGTCAGTGATGGCTGCATGACCTGACCATTGTCAAGTCTGAAAAGTCAAAATGTACTCCAAAAAGTGAAACATAATCATTCAACCTCACCACATTTTTTTTTATCTTAACAAATATACTGCTTCAACCTATATTTTTTTGCGTTTATCCTTTCATAAACAACATTTTCACTGTGCTTCAAAAAACAGTTTACTTTCCTGCTTGCTGCAAACAAAGAGAAGCACACTGAGCAGACAGTAGTCAATCGTAAAACACCATAAATAAATTTAAACCGTATATGTATTAATGTGGTCTAGTTTTCGCTCCCTGCTGTTGTATTCACAATAATATTCTGTATAAACTGTAAAGCCCCCTGAGACAAATGTAAATGTGTGATATTGGGCTATGTAATAAACTGACTGACTGCATGTCCTTTAATCTATTCCCAAACAGATTGGTGCCAAAGAGTCCTAAAACCAGGTTGGGTCAGCGTGTTTTCGGGATGCCAGACTCGCCTGCTCGCGCTCCGTCTTCAGAGATGGGGTGCGCCTGACGTTGAGGTCGGGGATGGACCCAGTGGAGGAAAGGGAGGTGAAAATATCCTCAGAGAGGCCGGGGCTGGAGTCCCCGGAGCTGGAGCCCAGGAAGGAGGCCTTCTGCAGGGGCAAGGCACAGAGACGCTCCAGGATGACCCCCGAGTGAGGGGACAGGCTGAGGGGCTCTTTGCATCCTGACAAAATGGGCTGAAAGACACACACAAATAAGAGACATTACAACTCAGGTACACGTCATTCACAAAGCATGCTTTAAGGTTAAAATGTACAAATATTAGCTGTACATTGTTTTTAAACTTTGTTTGAAATTGAAAAAAGTGGCTTAGTGTGGCCATGCGATATTCAAATGACTTAATTTACTTTTTAAAGTTGCAAGTTTGTTGGAATAATATCTAAAAATGGGAATGACCAATCACTTATTTTAAATGTAAATCTTTAAAAAATATGGGTTTGAAAGTTGTCGTCACATTATAAACACAATTTTTGTGTAAAAGTAAATATTGAAATTCAAAGTAAGTTAGTAGGAACTAACGTGCTATAAACCATTACAAAGTATAACAACAACACAATAAGGAAAGCGGAAGAGTGGGTGTATATCATCATATGTATATTCCGGTTTATAATATATATTGATACTGTCAACTTAATTATTTGAATTACCTTAGGGATTCTATTGAATGTAATATTTCTCGTTATTTTATTTTGTTGTCATTCTTAGTATGCTAGCGTTTGTCTCTTTATTTGAGTAGGTTATGGTATCCTATTTGTTAGGTGTATTATTTTAACTCAAATCAAAAGAGAAAATGCTTCCACCTGCTTTATATTCGTCTTAATGGTGGTTTTACTTTGGTAATGCAATGCCCTCACTACATATTGTTTTTGTTGGTATATATGGTTAAAGGATCACTAAAATTAGATAAATCAATTTCTTAAACTATGAAACTACTCACTACAACTTGGTCCGGCTTACACTAACTAGCCATTAGCCTGCCAGCTAATGTCTATTTTATCTTAGTATTACTTCAACTCACCTCGCCCCTTTCCGACCAGTACGGGTCAAAAGTGATATTTCCCTTTGGTGAATTTTTTAATGCCTGTAATGTTTCCCATCGTAGATTTTCAGAAGGCATCACGACAGTAAAATAGACACCACAAACTAATGATAGCGTCAAGCTAACTTTTGAATCACCGGATGAGGTTACATATATTACCGCCCGACGAGAAACAGACTGCCTACTGCCAAGCTTTTTGTTTCCGGCTAGGCCATGCCCTCATTTGATAAAGAATAACATTTGACAAAGAAACGCTTTTGGATACGTTTTGTTAATTCTTCACTTTACACATTCATGTTTTTTTGGAATACAGCCCCTCACCTGCTAACTCCTGCCCAGCTCCCTCCACCATATCACACACTGTAACTATTGTCTATCCTGATATTTTGTTCCTTCAAGTACAAAATGAGTACTTTATTTTGGGGGGAAATGTGTGTTAAAACAGGTTTAATAAGGTAATAAAGTAATGTTTTTTTTGATGATTACAGGCTAATTTATTTCTAAATCACCTCAGAAATGTCCTATCATTTCTCATATCAAAGTCATATTTTTTTGTTCAATACTTGTGTTTTGCTTATTCATTTCTCAGCCATGTCACTCTGGAAATTACAAAACTTATGTTCAGAGTGTGTTTCTCAAATATGTGCAGGGCTGCTTTGGCAAGGTGACGATGTGTGTGGACGTTGTAACCGAGAAGGCCATCAAGATAACCAAAGATAACCACATTTTCTTTGAGCGAGCACTGAAAGAGAGTACGAACTCTTATTATAAAGCTGGAATATGCTGGTTTAGATATTTGCAATGAGATCCCGACAACCTTGAATTGAAGATGGCAGCAAATGGGAGTAATCACGTTTTTGATGTCTTCCACAGATTCAAATTCTCCAAAAGCTGCTGACTGGATGCAGACACATGTAGTCTGGTCCAATGGTAAGGCTCATTCTATCGGCCCGAGACTTACATCAAGTATGTGTGTAGGAGCAAATTAACACAGTGGCTCTGTGGGTATTAAGGTAGGAACCAATGTTTGTGATTAGAGGTTTCGCCGGAAGGCCATACCGTTTTTGACAAACTGTAGAGGCTAAGCCAACGCTTTAGCCTCTGAGGATCCACTATCTTGGCGTAATTGACGCACACAAAGTTTGCCAGGTGAATAAAAGTCCGATACAAAGTTTCCAGATAACTATAGTCCATTTATTTCCTTTTACTGGTGTCCATTTAACTTGCGTAGTTTCTCATTCACCATACATAATATTACGGTTTACACAATACCTTGTGTTTGTGTGTGTGTGTGTGTGTGTGTGTGTGGCCTTCCGGCGGAACCTCTACCCACAAACATTGGTTCCTACCTTCATGAGAGGATCATCGGTGCCTCACTCCCATCACTCCTGGACCTCTACAACATCTGCCTCACCCGCAGAGCACTCAGCATCGCTGGTGACCCCACCCATCCCTCCAACTGCCTCTTCACCCTGCTGCCTCCAGGGAGGAGGTTCCGCAGCCTGAGGTCGAGCACCACCCGACTAAAGGACAGTTTTTTACACCAGGCTGTCAGCAGGCTGAATCCTCTCCACTCTCTCCGCCCTCTCCCCCCTGACCCACTGGACTATAACTCCCTCAGACACTAAAATCCAGCACCAGATACTTTTTACGCTGCTATGGACAATATTGCAATAATGCACATTCTGGACAATTTGCACTAATATTTATTTTTGCACATTCAATGGACAATCTGCGCTAATGTACATTCTCAGAATATTGAAGTGACTGTTATTTTGTATTGATTGTAGTGTTTTTATGTAGGTCTTAATGTGTGCACATGTGCAAATGTGTTCTTGACTGCGTATATACATACATATTTGCACACATATTTTAATATTTAATATTCTATTTATATTGTTTTTCTATTCGGGATTGTGGGAAACAGTATTTCGATCTCTTTGTCTGTACACACAAACTGGAAGATTGACATTAAAGTTGACTTCGGCTATACCCACTGTGTTAATGGCTCCTACAATGTGGAATTATTACTTTATTCAGAAGTATTCTTAAAAGACTTAACATGTAATAGGAAAAGTTAAACATGTTAATTGTTGTGATCCTAATGAATCTCAATCTTTGTGTTTCTTCAGCTGAACAGCCTGCTCCATGTCAAGGCCCTGGAAATCATGCATGCAGACTTAAAGCCTGAAACATCATGGTCGTGAACCGCTGTCAGCAGCCGCTGCAAGTCAAGCTTATTGACTTCGGTCTGGCTCGCCACGTTTCTGAGGCTGTTCCAGGGACAGCTGTGCAGAGTCTGTGGTATAGCTAGGTACTGGAGATAATAAAACATGTGGCATGGAAACTGTGGCTTTCTGCAAACGTTAGAAGTCTGTTTTTTTACCGGAAAAGAAACAAAAGTGAACAAGAAGTTCTCCTCTTCTCTCAGGGTACCAGAGGTCATCCTGGGAATGGACTTCTGCGTGCAAATAGACATGGGGTCTCTGGGTGCTGTGGCTGCATGAATTGCTGCAGGCTTGGCTTTCGCCCCCACGCAGAACACGAGTATGATGCGTTGAAACACATTATGGACGTTGGTGGGTCAGCCTCCAGATTACCTGTTGAACTGCAGACAAAAAAACAGCCTTGTCTTCAACAGTGAGGGGAGCTAGATCAGCAGACCTGGAGACATAAGGTGTCTGTGTGTCTGTCTGTGGATTCCCTGGTGCATGTAGGTTTTATTTTTATTTTATTTATGTAATATAATGTTATTACAAGGATTTATTTGATGTACTTATTGATTGCACTGCCGTGATTCAATACGATTATAAAGACAATGTTTTACCTTACATTTCTTCCAGGTGATATCTTATAGAAACATGGCCAAGAGAGAGGAGCTGCTGAACGTTGTGGATCTTTTAAAAAAATATGCTGCTGGCAGACAAATAATGTTGGATAATTCCCCTTAAAGGTCCCCTATTATACTGATTTTCATCAATATATTATAGGTCTCAGATATAGACAAAACATGTCTCTGAAGTGTTTGGCTGAAATACCAAACAGAACATGCATTGTGATAATGGACATGAGAGAGGCTGAGCCGAGCGTCACACCGTAGCTTTCCTCACAGAACGAGAGCGTCCAAAGTGTTGCTTTCAATGCCATGACTCCTTTCGAGGAAACAGTCTTTGCTCATCCAGACGGCTTGTCTGTGAAACTTGAGGATGAGGAGGGCGTGGCAGCTTAAATGAGGTTGGTCACATGTCAAATGTCTTAGTCTCATGTGTTTGTATTTTTTTGATTACACTAACTACACTACTGATTCTTTGTGGTTGGTCAGAGGTCCTCAAAGTGACCAGCAATGAGAGAAAGGGCGGTGTCAGTCGATTTTTGAAGAGCATCAGAAAAGCTCTCTTCTCCTGTTTCCACCAACATGTCATGTTCATTTAGTGAAGTGTTTTGAAGTTATCTTTGTTTCTTGTCAGTACAAATATTGATTAACTTAAAAAATGCCTTTGTGATATGTGGTGAAACTATAGAAGAGAAATACTGCTGGACTAATTGTTTTGTATTATTTAAAAGTTGTTTTTTTGTGAAAAATCAAATCTGATGATGATGAAAATGTGATATGGTCAAAAGCTTCAATACAGCTACTAAATAACCTTTAGTCTAGAATTTATCATCACATGATTAATGCGGGTTTAGGTTCCAGTTGGATGGTTAGGTTTTTCTTTTTTTCGAAGCGGTTAACCAATCACAAGAGAGATGGCCAGCTAACCAATCAGAGCAGACTGGGCTCTGGTTTCAGGCGGAGGGTGAAAAGAGGTGCTGCAGCACAGGCATTATGAGAAAAATTAAGACCTTTTTGAACATTAAAGCATGGAGACATGTCACAGTAGAGGCACAATTAACATACAGATAGGAACCTGAATATGAGCAAAATAGGGCTTCTTTAAATGTAGTCAATTCTTTATTTAATGTCAACAAGATGAATGTAACAAACACTTTTCAGCTTGCAGGGTTTTTAGACATAACTTTATTTTGAGAATTCAAAAAGACAGGAAATCAGGTTGAATTTAAGTTTTTCCACAATCCTGCTGACAAATCAACAAACAACCGTACGACATAACCTCCTTGGCAGAGGTAAAAATATCAATATGAAAAAAAGAAAACAACTAATGATGTAATATTTTTAGCAAATTAATGACACAAAAAACACTTATAATATTAACTAATATATTATTGATTTGTAACAGTGGTTGCATTTGGTCCTACTGCTCTGTCTCACCATTCAATATCTTTCAAACCTTTTTCGAGCTAGCATAGTAAATAATAATTTATCTTAGATTGAAATCGTTCGTTTCAACGTTTGAACAGATAATTATTTGCAATATTTGATTAAAAGGAAAATGTAGTAGCAACTAGCTACAATTGCTCTTCCCAAGGCTGTACTTGGAAATACGTGTAATGCCATTCAATTGCTAGAAAGCCTCAATACCTTTAATAATTTAAACAGTTTTAGTTTTTTATTGCAAACTTCTTCTCGTAAAAGTGTGGCTCGTTGGTCTAGGGGTATGATTCTCGCTTTGGGTGCGAGAGGTCCCGGGTTCAAATCCCGGACGAGCCCACCGTTTGTTAAAAGTTACTACATTTATACATCGCATGGTTTCTGAACACGATGTTCTTTCTCACCACTTATATAATACTTCTTAAGATTAATATGATAAAACCGTGGGTTAGACTTGTATACAGTGACAAGTATCCGCATACGTGGCACTGAGTATATCCAAGCCAGCTCTATATGGCGCTGATCCAAGCCAACCAGAAGTAGGTCCGGTCTTTGAACATTTCTCAATAAAACATTTCTCTCACTCTGTTTAGCAAACAATACAAAACGTATTAAGACTCCTGAAATAATCGGAAACATTTAAAAATGTGTACTGTGTACAGTATTTGTTATAGCATACATCTCCTTTGTTCACGGTTATCTCTGTAGCCTACAGTGTATGTTTCCTTTTTATGTTGTGATTTTCATTGTCGAACAAGTCTATGGTTGTTTCATGTATAAATGCAATGGTTTAAAGTGGTGTTTTTCAATATGATAATGATAACACAGGATATTTAAAATAAATACAAATTTTAATGTGTTTTTATATTTGTAATATGCCCAATGGAAAGACATTTACTTAAAACGTGTTGTCTTGCAGTACTCGCTATCGGCCAGGAGAGGGAGACAAAGCCGTTTGGAAAACCTGGAGGTGTCGACGTCACCAGCGGGCATGACCCCCACATCCTTCACGCTGCTGCTGCTGCTGAGATGTGATTGAATGGGAGGACAAATCTGTCCGTCTGTGAATGAGTGAACGTACCAAGAGACATTTTATTTACCCCTGTGTGTTTGTGTGACACTTCTGGTCTTGTCAGAAAAAAGAGAGGACGCTAACTGCTCAGAGGAGTGGACGTCAAGCTGTGTTCTGCCCTCAACAGCATCACCGGGTAAGCTAATTGTCACGGCTAATAGGAAGAAGCCGGCTAGTGTTATGGCTCTTCCTTAGCTAGCTAACTGTAACCGGCTCACCGTGAGACGTATATTCAAATATCAGAGGTTTCTCGCACTTGGTTAGCTTACCAATAGTCGAGCGTGGTTGAGTTAAGACTTGCTATAGAAGCTAACCTAAGGTAACTACAGAAAGACTAAAATTATCTTGCTCATTTACTTGTATCCATCATTCGGTGTTTTACTATTGTGAAAATACAAGCTTTCAATGGGTAATCCTCTATTCAAAGCATAGTATAACTTAGGTTAGGTTAGTGTTTTATGCACCCCTTAAAATCATTCCTGTTTTTGATGGGGATGGAGCAATCAGATAATTTACTTTACAATAATGCCACTCTGTCAACATACTAATAGGAGGAAAAGCCCTGCATTCAAAACATGACTTAAGTCAGTATGTATCAGTAGAATGCAGCCTACATAAAGGATCAAAGCTATTTATTGTACAGTATGTGGTCCCTGTCAGTATTTTACGATATGTTTATTTGTTATCATCAGAGGTGGAAGAAGTGCTCAGACCTTGTATTTGAGTAAAATGTCCTGCAATACAAATATACTTAAAGTACACAAAGTAGAAGTACTCAATATGCAGATTGGCCCATTTCATAATAATATATATTTTGATTTTAATTATTGATGCATTAAAGTGTTCTCAAAGCTGGTAAAGGTGCAGTTAGTTTGAATGACTTTGTATACTGCAGGGTAGCTGTTGAGTTCTACTCAGGTGGAACTAAAGTCTGATTTAAGTGTTTATTATATTTCACATCATTAATCCAAATCTGCAAATAACTAAAAGTATTAAATAAATGCAGTGGAGTAAAAGTACACCATTTACCTCTAAATTGTAGTGGGATAGAAGTACTAAGTTGCATAAAATCGAAATACTTAAGGAAAATACAAATCCCTTATAATTGTACTTAAGCACAGTGCTTGAGTAAAGTTTACTTAACATCACTGGTTATTATAAATGCTGCATTAATGGATATGTTGTATTTTACTGCTACAAATGTTAAAGGTTGTGTTTTTTTAATTTTTAATATACTATTGTGTAGTTTAATATACAGCAATGTATCATAATCTATATATTTTTTAGCCTAAGAAATTAAGTATTGTTTACACATGCTTAGTTACATTCCAACACTGTCTGATTTTGAAACAGTCAGCATAATTATAAAAAAATCTCTGTCATCTGACAGCCTTCCTGTGGTCTCTGTAGTGGTGAGAAAAGTGCTCAAATCCCTGAGGACAACTAGCAATCATGGTTCAGATGACCATGATAAACCTAGAACAGTCATTTGTTTCTTCCAGGTCTATGCAATGGAATATTTAAGATACAAAGGTGCTCTATTTTGCTCGTTTTCAGGTTCATG